TCTTAGGTTTAAAGATGCATCCAATTTAGACCGCCCATTTGGAGGTAAAACAATTGCTCTTGGTGGTGACTTCAGATAAATATTACCTGTCATTTCAAAAGGCACTAGGCAAGATATTGTTAATGCATCTCTCAATTCTTCTTATTTGTGGCCTCACTGTCAGCTCTTAAAGTTAACAAAGAATATGAGATTACAAGGAAATGAAATAGGGACGCATCTAGATGAGTTGAGAGTTTTTTCATATTGGATTTTGGGAATTGGCGATGGTATGGTTGGTACTTCTGTTGATGGCTATGAAAAAGTCCAAATACCAGATGATCTTTTGATAAAACAGTCTGATGATCCAATATCTGCAATTGTAGCAAGTACATATCCCGATTTCAACAGTCGTTGCAGTGATATAGGATATCTCCAACAAAGAGACATTCTTGCTCCAACTCTTGATATGGTGGAATCAATCAACGAATATATGATTTCGCTTAATGAAAGTTCTGAGAAATCATATTTGAGTTCCGATACAATCTGCAGTTCTGACCATACTTATTCAGCATTGGAACATGTACACACACCAGAATTCTTAAATACTATTAAAAGTTCAGGAGTTCCAAATCACGCTCTTACTCTAAAGTTTGGTATTCCGGTGATGCTATTAAGAAATATTGACCAGACAACAGGATTATGTAATGGAACAAGGTTGATCATAACCAAACTTGGAAATCAAGTCATTGAAGCGAAGGTTTTATCAGGACAGATGGCTGGACAGAAAGTGTGTATTCCAAGAATGACATTGACTCCATCTGATGCTAGAATTCCAGTTAAGTTCCAGCGAAGACAATCAATAAAAGTCAAGGACAGTCATTGTCTCACGTGGGATTATTTTTGAAGAAATCTGTGTTTACACACGGACAGCTATATGTTGCTCTTTCCCGGGTGAAAACTAGAAAGGGATTAAAACTTTTGGTTTATGATGACGATGGAAAAATAACTACTGAAGCTACAAATGTAGTATTTAAAGAAGTTTTTCGAAATTTAGTCCGACACTCGAAAGATCATCAATATATTTTTTGAGGTTTAAGTACTACTTTTCTTGCTGAGATTTATGAACCAACTGAGAAGTTAGCTATTGAGATGATTCCTCAAACATGGAATAGGTACGCTTTAGTTTTCGGTATTTTTCAAATCTTTTTCTGTTACACTATTCTAGATATATAAAATAATATTTCATTAATGTTGCACATACAGATTGTTCAGTAACTTCCATTACATGGATTAACAGTAGTTGTTACATCGCATTGGTGAAGAAGTACTCAATGTCACTTACGCAAGTGGTTTGAATGTGGTAATTCATCAACTGGATAATGTGATACAATAGAATTGCTTCTCAATAGCTTACTGCTACGTGTTATAGTTTATGCTACTTTATTATTTGATTATGCTCTTTCTTACTTATACAGCAAAATTATGATCAAAGTCACCATTCTGTTAATGATGCCTTCTCCATTTAGTGCTCGAGTTATTAATGTGATCTCACAGCTGAAAAAACTTAATGACATACAGAATGTAAGTGTCTTACACTTCCTTTTCATTATTATTATTCTTCTTACTTTTCATGTAATTGGTTTATAAATTAATATTTCCCTGATATAAAGCAGTTTGGCTACAATTCCAGCTCAATAGTTCTGAGAGACAAGTGAACTGACTCTAAGACAAATCAAAGAGTTGAAGAATATAGTAACTAATAACGGTTCCTCAACAATGTTATTGTCTCCCTTTCTATCCATAGACCAGCTGCTCCTTTTGCTTCTTCATCTGTCCAAGACCTGAGTTACGTTCTTTTGAGTGAAGGATTGGGCATGTATGAATGTTATGTTGCTCTTTTTTCACATTAGAACAATGGTGGACACGAAGAATTTTCCCAATTAAAGAATCTGTAACTTCAAATATTGCTTTACTAAAGCATGAAATGGATTATGTATTAGGAAATTAGATACTAAAAATTCTACAGATGCACTATTCAGGTCTGTTAAAGATGTCAATAAGCATCCAACTGTTAGACATGAAGCAGCCAAACTGTTGGTTCTCATAGCAGATGCGGAACATAATACACACTTCTTGAAGATTTTTCCAAGTAGGAATCACTAACTTTCCTTTTTTTTTTTTTTTTTGTCTGTATAAATATGCATTTTCACATAATTGAATTTCATTTCATTTCTTCAATCTCCATATTTGATGCTATTCATATAATTTTCTCCAGTACTATATGGTTAGTTGTCATACAAGACGACATATTCTCATAGAGTATTGACAAAGATCTCATGTTTTGGAAATCTTCAGAGAATCGGGTAATCAGAAGTGAAACCTTCGATTTTTTTCATTTGTTAAGCATAAATATTCTAAGCTCTAAAGTCGTTACTATTTTGTTTATAATTCTTTTTTCTTTTTCTCTTTCTCTTTCCTGTTCAGTTATGTGGATTGCAGCAGATTATAAGCTGAATTTTTCATCATTCTATTGGAAATGAGTAAGTAATTGCAATGTGTTCTGGTTTTCTTATTTTCTGCAGTTTTTAAATTTTGTTATGTCGATCCGAAAGATTGTATTCACACTTTTCATAAGGTTCCTTCTAAAATCTTTTTCTGCATTTTTTCTGTAGTTTCAAATACAACTACAAATAATTTTTCTCCGGCCTCTATTTAATAGAGCCTTTACACATTCCAAGTTAAGTTTGAAGGTCAAAAATCAGTTGATTTTGATATCTTATCACTTTATCTTCATGTTCCAGTGCAGTCAATATTCATGAAAACTGAATATCTTAGATTTATTTTACTCCAATGTCTTAAACTGACTATGTTAAAATACAGTAATCGAAACTTAGAGTGGGTCAAACTCTGTTTACTCGCAAAGGTAAAGCAGAATGCTGCGATTTGAACCTCACAAAAGAATGCACAATTTTTATTATTCTACTCGATTTCAGCTTATAGTTTGAGGACAAAGAAAGTTAACCATTAATTGTAATTTTTTGGGATGCAGAAGAAAGTACAAAGTGAGAAGATGCAAAGCAATGTGAGTAGTGAAGGATCGGGTAATTTAGTACTGATTGTTCCTCGGGAAAACATGTTTAAGGGCTATTGCCCAACCTGTTGAAAATTTTATTTGTCAAGTTCTCTTTTATAATAAGACAATTTACAATAGAGTCAAAAAGTTTATTAAATTCGTCAGCATTTTTAACTTTATTGATAAAAGTAGTAATTTCTTTCAACAGTCTTTCTTACTTTTAGTAAAAGATGACAATCTACTATAGTTTGATTGAAAATTTATGATTATTTGATGTATAGGAGAAAGAATTGTGTTGCTAGCCCATACTTTAATTTACAAGGTATTCAAACTTCATACATTATTATGGCATACATCTTTATTGACACATGACGTGCATACAACATTGGTTAGACTAGCTTTGAAGAACGGGATGTCATAGTTCCTGAAATATACTTATCTGCAAAGGGCATAACATGTTCTGTTACACCACCTTCTCTCAGCATATGTTGAGCAGATTAGTAAAAGTTGGCTTTCATTTCTTCCATAATACTCTAATATCATATAGCTTGGTAACTTAAGTTTTTAAAAGAAACCAAGAAGCTGAAGAATTCATGTATTACTGATAAAAAAATCTTTGTCGATGACCATGAAATAGAGCCTTATACATTATTATTTATTTCTCTTGAAAAGATGACATGTTTCCTCAAAAGTTTCCTAATTATTTTTAATGCACTACGTTTGGTTTAGTTGGGATTTAGGCACTGTTATTACTTGTGGCCAATAAAAAGCAGATCTGAATGTGCTTATTTACCTCCCTATTTATAATTTTCGCTTCTACAATTTATGAGCTGAATGTTATGCGTATTATTACTAAGCTTATAGCTGCTGCCATTGCCTATGGTCTGCACAAGAAAGCTTCTAGGTCCTTTTCACACTAGCTGTATTTATAAGGGAGAAGTCTATTTCCATATGACTTGAATGTATTAATGTGTTTCCTTTTACCGTATTTCCAAATAATATTTTCATTTAAAATGTTATATTTTACATTTTTCGCGCAACGCGCGAGTACGGATACTAGTTATAAAAAACAACAAAAACAATGGGACAAACAAGACACTGGTCAACACAGAAAGCAAGAAAAAAAATGGACCAATCAACTCAATTTTGCAATCTGATAAATTCTTTTGCCATCACTCATCTGGAATTACACTCTGTTTGGATTATTGTTCCCTATCGTTTTATAATGTATTGTATTGTATTGTATCGTATTGTACCGTATCGTTTTATGAATACAATGTTTGGATAGATTGTATTGTTTGCTATTGTTAAATAATATTTTGTTGTTTGGTTTGACTGTATCGTACTGTACTGTAACTGATAAGTTTACTAAAATACCCTCAATTGTTTAAATATTAAATTTATCAAAATTATGTATAAAAATAATTTTAAAAAACAAACAGAAGAAGACAAAACACAATAAGGAAGCAGAACAAAGGAGCAAGACAGAAAAAGGCAAAACAAAGGAGTACAACTAATTAGAATTGAGTTACAAGCAAATTAGGAGAAAAAATAAAACAGGAGGCAACAAAACATCTTTAACATTGGTCTGAAAAAAAAACAAAGTAGGTTATAAGTTGGAGATTTTGAGTTAAAATAGAAAAAAGATAAAGGGTAAAATAGAATTATGGAGTAATAAGTTAGGGCATAATTGGAAAGAAAAATAGGAAACAATCCCACCACACCAAATCGGTTGTTTCAAGAAAGGGGACTTTTCATTGTTTCAGAACAATGGATTTAACAATATAATACAACCAATTTTAATGAAACAATCAAAACAAACATTATTTTGGGATAACAATACAATACAATACAACAAGGAACAACCATCCAAACAAACTGTTAGATAAAGACCATTTTACATTACAATATTACTATTTGAAAGTTTAAACCCAAAACAACAGGCACCCACCTTTTTCTTTTGATTTCTTTAATTTCCCAAACAAATATTACAGTGCAATATAGTAGGTACAAGAATCTGTTTTCTGTGGCACAAGGCCCCCACATTTACATTTTTCTTATTTTTTTACTTCACATAATTAGTCAACCACACCAATTTTTCTTGGATCTTGCAACCAAATTTTTGTATTTTGGTCACCCCCAAAACCTTAATTTGCTGAAAAGCATTCTAGATTTGATTTCAAACTCCAAGAAATTGACTCTAGAACATTTAAAACCCCCAAAAAAAATTGATTCAATAAAGCATTTTTTGGGGGTTCTTGAACTGTTTTTCTTGGCAAAACATTTCTGGGTATTTGCTGATTTGGTTCAAAAATCTGATCTTTAATCAAGAATTCAACTTTTTTTGTGATTAAGTTGCAGTGGGGTAGCTATGAATTTCAGAAACATGGAGGAATTTTGGCCTTTTTACATGAACCAGCACTCAAAACTAGCAACAAGGCGTTGGCATTTTGTGGGTACACTTTGCAGTATCTTGTGCTTGGTTTACACACTGCTGTTTAATAAGTGGTTTGTGATTTTTGTGCCAATTCTTGGGTATGGCTTGGCTTGGTATAGTCATTTTTATGTTGAAGGGAATGTTCCTGCAACATTTGGACACCCTTTTTGGTCTTTATTATGTGATTTCAAGATGTTTGGTTTGATGCTCACTGGCCAAATGGATAGAGAAATCAAAAGGCTTGGGAAAAGGCCTGTTTTACAGGTCTATTAATGCTTTCCCTAAGCTCTCTTGTCTTGTGTTCTATTGATATACTTGTATTTGCATCTCCAAATGCTTTTTGTTTCTATTCAGATTTACATACTGATATTGGATTGTCTAGACTTGTATATAAATCTACTGTTTGTTGTCAACTTTGGAATGGAACATGTTTTTGCTATACTTGTGTCTTTCCTTGATGATATAAACCTATCTAAATGCTTAAAAGATGTAATTAAAGATGGTCAATGAAATGTGTGAAAACTATAGGAGACCAAGTTTGAAATCCTAGCTGTGACTAGAGAACGATCGATGATTTCTTCTATCTGTCTAAGTCTTGGTGGACCCCTGGTAACAGTGCTGGTAGGAGATAGCACCTTCACAGTGAAATTGTCAAGGTAGGGGCAAGCTGGCCCAGACACCATAGTTATAAAAAAATAAAAAATAAACACCTTTGTGGATGACTTAAATCGTCTGAGCTATCAACTAAGGGAGAAAAGCTCTTCTTACTCAGAGATGATTTGATTTTGTTTGGAACTCAGTTGTTCCAATTGGAAAACGGGCCTTTGCTTAGGTTCTCACTGGAGTCTTTTATACATTTTGTTGAAATGTTAGATGAGTATGATTGTGAGCTTCTATGAGGTATTGCTTAGCTCTTCTTCGCGATCAAACCTGTTTGCTCCAACTATGTGGTAGATTTCACTTCATTCCTTAGCTTAGAGGCGAAACTAGGATATAGAGTTAGTAGATTTAAAGTTTGTGTGATATATTCTAAATACATAGAAGCATATTTATAAATGGTTGAACCGAAAGCAATGAGTTCAGTTGAACTCGTATAACCTGGCCTAGATCTGCATCGATCTTTCCTTGTCTAACCTGTTTGAAAGGTTTAGTAGCTCCCCTGAGCTAAATACCTGCCTCAATGGTTCTTTAAGATCTTCTATTGTATCTGAACTGAGTTCTAATCGGCACTAATTTTTTAATTATGAGGCACAAAGTCAGTAGAATATTTGTTTTACCTTTGTTCTTCCATTTGGTCATTCTTAAATTCTACTTAAACAGTAAGTTTTCTAGGTGATACCGCGATAGTAGATATTCATTCTTGTTAGTTCTTGGAATAGATTATTGGACCCCAAAGCTGAAGTCTCAAATACCGGATACGCCGTGTCCTTTTACATAGGGAAACTTACTAGTTCAAGTACATGCAGACCATCTTCAATTCTTATTCAAAGTTCTCTCATTCACTTCAAGGTCTTTGTAGTATCTTTGCCAAAGTAGTTTAGATATGCAGGATAAGCTATGAGGTAGACAGTAAAACTTTAGAAGGATGTCCAGCTTTCGGGTAATTAGTTCTGTGACTCCGATATTAAGTTCTGTGGTAAACGTAATTTGCATGCGATGGCACTTCTTTGACAATCCGTTAAGTTCAGCCTAGCAGCCTGCTCAGAAGCATGCATGACTTATATATGTTTCAGGCCAGTGAGAAAGAGTACAGAATAAGGATTGATTTCATTGCATCAATTGTCGTGTATGTGTAAAAAGTTGCAGCAAAAGAGTGTGCTTGTGTGGAGCGTGCACCACGAAAAATCAGGCTTGAAGCTCTCACCTTATTGACAAGCCGGGAGCTGACAGCTCAGGAGATTCAATCTCATCGAGTTCAATTCCTGTTCTCCACCCATGACCAAGACAAGCTCGAACTTCCATTGTAACATCAAATATAATTAAACCGGTGAGTGTCTAGTGACGGCTCAAACCCATTCATCACGAGCTTCTCAGATTTAATTTTAAACATCGTAAACTAGTTGCCACAAGAAAGCATGACAAGATCCTCTTCCATTTTGGATATCTGTTGTGGTGGGAGGTCTGCATAGGTTGACATTAAGGTGTCATTGTAGATTTTTAGGAACCAGGAAAGTAAATACGAGCAGGAAGCATTGTCCTGAGAATTGTTTCAAATGTTGCTTTTCATAATTAAGAAAAGCATATTGGATGGCTTGTTTGGTTGTAATTGCATGTAGTCAACCAATATTTGCCTTACGTTCTCCATTGGCAATTCTTTAGGCCCTCTGAAGTAGCTGAAGTTTTCGCATGACTCTGAATGTCCCCCTGATCAATCTAATCTCCAGCACCCCCCCCCCCCCCTTTCCAACATACAAAAAATAATATCCACCCCACCCCCAAAACGATTATATTTTGGAATATCCAGCTTTGTATCTTCCAATTCCTTTCACAAATATCGAGTTTTAGCTTTGGCTATTCTCATAAGAGGTTAAAATAGAACTGAAATCTTTGGTTTCACCTCAACGCAAACTCGTTTAAGTCCATGTTTTGATTTGCATTTGTAGAAAAATGCTGACACCTTCAAATGAAATCTCAATTGTAAAGAGGGGAAATTGATGAATTAGCGGGATTTGGTGAAAGAATGGGAGAAATTCAAAAATAGTCAGATTTACAACTGGTCGTTCAAAAATAGCCCAATTTCAAAAGTAATCGAAATTTAGCCACTTTTTATGTAAAGATAATCTGAGCGAAAACACTGTTCAAAATCCGAAAATATACTCCAGTATATTATGTTGGAGTTCCAGCATTAAGTATACTTGAACTCCAGCATATTATACTGGAGTTCCAGGATAAGTATGCTGGAACTCCAGCATATTATGATGGAGTTCTAGCTAAGTAATCTAAAACTCCAGCATAATATACTAGAGTTCCAGCAAGTATACTGGTGCAATATAATATACTGGAGTTTGGAGCACTGGTGCTCCAGTCTCCAATATATTATACTGGAGCCAGCAAAGTATACCGGTCCAGCATAATATGCTGGAGTTCATACACAGATGCACCGAACTCTAGTATATTATGCTGGACCGGTCTCTATTGCAGCAAAATAGTGGCTATCTTTCATTGACTTGGTAAACGCTGGCTATTTTTGAATGATCAGTCCGAAAACTGACTATACTGTGCTATTTTTACTGAAAGAATCTGTGATAAAGCATAAGCCCAATTTGATGTTAAAAGCCTTTACCTTCAACTTTCTCTTATTATCCATGTTTAGGGTATGATCTCAATTCAAGAAATCTTTGATCAGTTCTAGTCTTACATCCTTCATTCTTTCAAGGTGCTTAACATTTTGAGATGCGTGATGCAATAATAAGATCAGTCCTTATTGGCAAAAGCATGAGAGGTGAACTTTAACATATAAATGTTAAATGTTAACAGAAACTATCTAATAGGAAAAACATTTAGTTCAACAAAATGGGTTAAAATTGCGTACGGTACTCGAGTAAAAGCAGAAAACTTGTGAGGAAGATGAATGTCGCCTTCAAACAAACTGTTGTATTCATTAAATAATCATTGTTCGCTTCAATGTGTCAAAAAAGCATCTGTTTGTTACATCTGGGGAAGGGTACAATGACAAACACCTCAGATTTTGTATTACTCAAAATTCAGATACAGATCAAATCAAGGGAATTGTCCGTTCTTCCTATAGTTCAACATAATATGTCTGCTCACAGTTGAACAGCTGAACTTTCCCACTGGCCCAAAAGGCGGTTGTCAGCTCAAGTTCCAGCAGGAGAGAATGCCTCACTTCTAATGTGCCAAATTTTATGTGTATGCAACATTACAAGCTTGTGTTTCGCGAAAATGATGGTAATGGCATGACCTCCTGTGGACGAAGAATAACAAGCACACCAAACATCCCCAGCATAGGAAGAACAAGAAGCCATTTTAACAGCTTATAATAATGAAAATGGAATGTCAAGGAAAAATCATCAGAGAAATATAACCCATTCTTGTCAACCATCTCCACCAACACAGTCCCAGCAGTCCTCACAGCAACAGTTGGGAGCATAATCCTATGTTTTCCAGGTTGACCAAATATTTTATTTTGCTTAATAGTTCTATCACCTTGGTAATTGCCAGGTACTAACAAACTCACCTGTGTCGTAATGGAGAAATAAAAAAGATACATTACTAACCAGTGAGCAGTGAGATGTTAACAGAAGACGAACTTTAATAGAAGGTAAAGCTTTTTTACCGTGACATTATATGGAGCTTGAGACCCAGATGGATATCTGTATCTATCAAAAATTTCTATTTCAACCCAAAAGCTCTTGCCTTCTTCATCACGGAAAGCTCTTGATGATGGAGTTACATAGACTCCCTCACGATCTAATCGGTATGCAGCATTATTTCTCCCTTGGTTAGGTGATCTCCATGCCTGCAGTGTATATCATGCAGATACTACTAATCAAACAGCTCAAGGAAATAACCAAAAGCAAAAAAAATAAAAATAAAAATAAAAAACATAAAAAAATAAAAAAATAAAAAAAAAGATAATCTTATTGAGTACCTTGAGGGGATGATGCGGAGAAGGCGTCGAAAAACAGAAGACATTGCCATTCATGGTTGTCACAATAAGATCGAGGTCGTCACCACCATCAACATTGTCAGCCAAGACCATGCTGTATCTGTGAGCAAAAGCACATTTTCAAATTACCTTTTAAAAAGAAGATTTTTTGTTTCCCTTTAAAAGGAGAACAGCAGAACAAAACAGAGAATCTAAGGACATCTTACGATGTTTCACCAATATCTACAACATCAGCACATGACGTAGGTCCATCTATGAGATATAAGTAACCATCAAATGAAGTTGTGACAATTGTAAGCCCTTTTTTCCTCTGTCCACGTTTGGTCAAGTCAACAAGAAGAACTTGATTCATCACTCTACCATGAGTCCTGTAAGGATATGGGCGTACAAACGAGCCATCCTTGCCACTAAGAACATAAATATTCCCAGAAAGTGTTGGAACAACGATATCGGTATGGCCATCCCCATCCACATCACCAACGACAGGTCCCTGAGGTTAAAAGTTTTGCATGCATATCATACTCAGGCTAGTTGAGAAATTAAGGAGACAGGACACCGTAGTGTACCTGTGGAACAAGGCTTTTAAGATGCTTTTCCCAAATTTCTTTGCCCTGTGCAGTCCATGCAGCAATATTGCCATGCGAATCTGCAGTAACTAGTTCAATCTTGCCATCATCATTTATATCAGCTGCAATTACTGCTCCTTGGATTTCAGCCATTTCAAGCGGAAACTTATCCCTCACCTTCCCTGATACAGTAAGTGTTTTAGCCTTCAAACAGTATGATGATGCACAATAATATCAAACAGATC